AATAATATTAAAATAAATCAAAATTATGAGTAAATATAATTTTAAATTAATTGGATGAGAATTTAAAAAAAATGACAAATTAATGAAAATAGTAATAAATGACAAACCATAAGTAATAAAATTCTTTATTGTAATATATGTACTTTTTTTTTTTGAGAAATACATCTTATGTAATTGTTAATTAATAGATTATGTTATGTGATAGTATGTGCTTATAGACATAATTATTTTTTGAAAAAAAAACATTATTTTTTTCAACTTAGATATTTCAAACTTTAGAAATAAATAATAAAGGAATTAAATTGTTGGTTTCTTTAAAATTTTAACAACCAACATTATTCAGAAACGAAAATTACAAAAAAAAAACCGTTCACTTTGTAGAAACGGAAATAAAAAAATATTCACACCAAAAGAAAAATTAGATATTTTAAATTTTAGAAATAAATAATAAAGGAAATAAATTATTGGTTTCTTTAAAATTTTAACACGTCATTAATTGTTGATTTCTTTAAAATTTTAACACCTAACATTATTAAGAAACATTAATTAAAAAAAAATTCAACGTTTAGAAAAAAAAAGGACCAGCCGTTTACTATTTATGTGAATAGTAAACGGACAGAAATTAAAATGAAAAAAAAACTGTTCAGTGTTAGAAAAGAAAAAAAAAGAAGGGTGCAAGCCGTTTACTGTTCAATGAACAGTAACCGATAAAAAAAGGGAAAGAAGGCCAGAGGGGGCTGACCAAAAATTAAAAAAAAAACCAAAGAACAATAATGAACAGTGTTAACTGTTCATTGCTACAGTGAATTTGTTTTTCTTTAGTTTATAGTACTAATTGATTGCTCTCGCTACGCTGGGGGTATGATAGAACAAACTCATTTAAAAAATTTTTTAAAAAAATTAAGTATAATTCTTATTTAATTAATTTTTTCTAATGTTTTTTTTTTATAAATTCTTTTGCTTAAAAAAACATAAATCATTCTTCTTTATGGATGAAAAAAATTATTCTCATCGAATTAAAAAAACTTTAAAAATATATTTTTTATAATATTGTATTCCAAAAATAAAATTATAATTAATAGATAGACTTTTATAAAAAACTAACAAATGGAAAAAAAATTATTTAATGTTGATGAGAAGATTAATTTTTAAAATTATCAATGCAATGCTACAATAGATAGAACAAAATCAATTCAAAATTTTATAATTTTTTCATCAATTTTTTATTTAACTATTACTATTTTTTTGGGTTTTTCATAAAATTTCTACTTAAAAAAACATGATTTTTTTTTCTTTATGTAGGGATTCCTAAACAAAAACTTGTAATATATAATTTAAAACTGAAATATTAATTAAGAATATAAAAATAAATGCTTTAAAAATATATCCAAAAATTAAATTTACAATTAATGTTTAGAGTTGCATAAAAATTAACCAATGAAAAAATAAAATCTTTTTTTATTTAATGTTAATGAGAAAATTATTTTTGTAAAGCACATATATTTGATTTATATATATTATATAATCGTTAGTTTGTATGAATAAAAAGTAACGATTGATTTTTAAGAAACTTAGCATCCAATTAAATAAAAAAAAAGAACATAAATTGATGAAAAAACTCAAAGAAAAAAAAGCATGTAGTGCATCAACTAGGGATTAAAATTTTTATTTTAACATTTTAGGGATTAAAATGTAATAATTTGAAAATTTAAAAAAAAAACTAAGGAAAAAAAGTAAGAGTTTGAAAATTATGAAAAAAAAACCTAAGAAAAAATGAAAAAAAAAACTAAGAGTGAAAATTGAAAATTTAAAAAGAAAAAAAAACACCTAAGAGTGAATGGTATATTGTGAGGGTAAAAAAAAAGAGGAAAAATTGAGTGAATAGTACAAAAAAAGTTTAGGATAGTAAACTTTATTTAGTTTTAGTATAATAAGGATAAAAATCAAACATAATAAAACTTTAATGACTAAAATAAAAACTATCACAAAATAGAACAAAAAAATATAAATTTTTACTAAAGGTCAAGAAAAAATATTTATTATAAGGATAAAAGTCAAATATAATAAAATTTTAATATTTATTATAGAGACAAAAATCAAATATAATAAATTTTTAATGATAAAAAAAATTACAAAAAAGGGACAAAAACAATTCTCTAAAAGCTTGGCTAGGCAATCTCGAGAAAAAAAAAAAGCAACCGAGAAAAAACATTGTTCGTTAAAGCGTGAAAGGAATAGTGATTACATAGTGAAAGCGGTCAGTATATATATATATATATTAGAAGGAAAAAAAGAGGAAAACAAAAAAATAAGCCTTGGCTGCTCATTAAACATTAAAAGTGCCATATATGTATATATTAGAAGGAAAAAAAAAAAAAAAACCCCAGGCGTATATAAAGGGAAACGAAAAAAAAAGCGGAAAACAGTGTTCATTTAACAGGGGAAAAAATAGTAAAAAGCACATTAAAAGCGTCTTGTGTTTTAGATTATTAGTAATTTGCATTCATATGAAAAAACAAATTGCGAACAAATTGTAATTCATATCTACGACTGTCTGGCTGTCTTCAAGGGTGGAATACAATTGGACAGCATGTTCAGTCAAACCTTTCGCTTCTTTAAACATGAAATGCGAATTCGGACTGTGTGGCTAGCAAAGATATTGATGAACATTTTTCGATGGAAGTCATTTCAGTATTTAGGTAGCATAAGAAAGCGAAAACTGATGATTAAACGCAGAGCTTCTTTTCAGTAGAACCAAATAAACATGGATATAACCATGTTTTCTCGGGTCACGATTATTTGGATTACAAGAGAAGAAAAGTGGACACAAACAACATATTAACTTGACCATAACCATAATTCTAATAAAATAAAATAAAATAAAAAATCTTGACCATAACCTTAACAAGGATGAAACTATTGTCCGGGAAAGGCACAATCTTGCTGAAAAAGAGTGAAAGACAATTCGAGATTGTTATATGAAGAAGAAAAAGGGAATTACTGAATTTGAAAATTATTACATGAATGGAAAACATAATATGACTAGATTCTTATGAGTTTTGGAAACGTGTTTAGAAAATGATAATGACATGTCAATTTATGACTAAGTATAATTAGTTGAGATTGATTGTGTTTTTTGTTCCTTTTATGCTGTGTACTTATGAAATAAATTATTCTAGCGGAATGAGAGAAATGAGAACCATCTGACGAATCCGATTAGTTATCAAAAAGAAGATAAATGACCCGATTAGGTTTTGATAAAGTGTTTTTTTTTTTTTTGTGTCACAAAGAAGATGAACAATATGTATTTTTTTTTTAATGTAAAGAGTTGTAAAAAGTTAAGAATCTAAAATTTTTAGTGGCTAAAGATTTTATATAGATGAGATTTCGACAAATTATATGATGGAATGATTTATTCTCTTGGTGTAGATATTTTCTAACGCCAAGTGAAGTGATTTGTGTTTTTTGACATGACTTATATGAAAATGGTATATTCTCTTGGAGTATCCATTTTTTATGTCAAATGAAGTGATCTATGCCTTTTGACATGATTTATACGAGATTTGACGGTGGTGGTGATAATGTGATTGCTACTAATATGATAATAAGGGTGACTGAAGGGTTCGTTTATTTAATGAGGACTACTTTGATTTTTTTTAGTAATCATGTTCATCCATTTTTTTATTATATATCACGGGGATGAGTTCCAATAATACACTTGGGAAGTTTTCGATAGGTTGTATAATAGAAACGATATAATGGTGTATTTTTTTTTGTGTAGATATTTTTTAACACTAAATGGAGTCATTTGTAACATAACTATATGAAAATGATCTATTTTCTTACTGTAAATATTGTTTGATGTTAAATACAGTGATTTATGTATTATAACATGACTTATACGAGGTTTAACAACGACAGTGATAATACAAATGTTTACTAATATGATAATAAAAATGGTTGAAACATTTGTTCATTTAACAAGGACTACTTTAGGTTTTTCAATAATAGTTATCGTCCGTCTTTTAATTATAGGTAATGAGATGGGTTTCAATAATACATGTGTGGAAAGCCTTTATCCTAGACGCTTAGTGGCATGTCCTTTTGAGTTGGGCCTTGCTTCATTACACATTGCCTTTCATTGGCCTACTGTCTTTCCCGCGTATATCAACTTCCACATTATACAAGTGATTCAAACCAAAAATCCAATGGGTTTTTCAGTTCTCTTTTTTGTGCGCATGCCAGATTTTCCAATTCAAAACGCAGCATTTTATACTAAAGTAAGGACAATTTGGTAGAATGAAGCTCAATCAATAAATAGAAACGTAAACGAACGATACCAAAAAAATCACGGCAGTGAACAACAATTGAAGAAAAGGAAGAGAACCCGAATTCCTATTTTCTTATCGAGTAAATTATTTCAGTATAGTGAAGACTTGAAGTGCAAACGTAGGTAAGTAATTCTTCTAGTTGTAACCTAAAGGTCCTACATCTGTTTCTTTCAATTTCAGAATTCAATTCTCGATAATATCAATTATGCACGTAGAGATGTTTCTAATGCAATTTTTAATTGCTATTTTAAGAATACTCAGTTTGTTTTAAACAGAATACGTTGCCTTTTCTATATGGGAATAGTATGAGTTCCAGTATGGGTTTTCAAGCTGAATCTAAGATGTTTGATGAATTGCCTCAGTGGGTTTGCCGTTGAGACCTTTTATTGATGGATGAATGATTAGTATAAAGGTATCGCATTTAAAGTCCGTTTTGTTCTTCAGATCTCCAATCTGATTCAGTTTTAGTTGTCATCGGAATCAAGACTGCTATAAATGGGTGGAGTTTGTAGATGTTATTCAATAAGTTGGCAAGTGTCGAAAGCCACTGCAAAAGTAGCTGTCCTTAGAATTCGTCGTGCAAGTTTTCCTGATTTTCCCTCCATATCTTCTTCGCCAAGGTTCTGAACTCGTTGATGTTAAGAGCGTCCCTTTCTCTCAAACATTGAAATGATTAGCAGGCCTTTTTTGTTCGTGAAACCCCTGCTTAGCTCCCTCTATTACCACCAGCACCGCCGTTGCCTCTGCCTCTTAACCACGGAATCAAGCCAAGCGTACCAAACACCACCGTCCCCAGTCAATGAAGATCACCTTCTCCGAGTTTGCACCATCCTCTTCCAACAACAAGATTCTCCAGACTTCAAACTCCACAGCAAACTTTCCTCCATTGACTTCAACCTCACCCATGAGTTCTTCCTTCAAGTCTGCAACAAATTCCCAGCATCTTGGCGGCCCGTCTACTGCTTCTTTCAATACACTCAACAGGCACCTTATTCACATTTCACTCACACCTGTGTGTCGTTCAACAAGATGCTTGACGTTTTTGGAAAATCAAGAAACATTGATCTCTTGTGGAGTGCTGTTCAGGAAATGGCAAAGCGTGGTTTGGTTAATGATAGGACTTTTATAATTGTTTTGAAAACATTGGCTTCAGCAAGGGAGTTGAAAAAATGCGTTGAATTTTTTCACTTGATGAATGGATGTGGATGTGAGTATAGAGTTGAGAGATTAAACAAGGTGGTGGAGAATTTGTGTAAGGGTAAGCTTGTTGAGGAGGCAAAGTATGTGGTTTTGAAGATGAAGGATTGGATTAGGCCTAACGGGGTTACTTATGGGTGGTTGGTTAAGGGGTTCTGTGATGTTGGTGAGTTGATCGAGGCTTCAAAGGTCTGGAATTTGATGGTGGATGAGGGAATTGAGCCGGAGATCGAGGTGTTTGAGAAAATGATGGAGACCCTTTTCAAGAGGAATGAGTATGATGAGGCATTGAAGGTGTTTCAGATGATGAGGGTGAATAGAATGGATGATTTGGGCCTCTCAACTTACAAGCTTGTGATTGATTGGATGTGTAAAATGGGTAAAGTTGTGCAAGCGAAGGCAGTATTTGATGAAATGCGCCAGAGAGGAATACAAGCAGATAATTCAACTTTGGGGTCCCTAGTTTATGGGTTTTTAACAAGAGGCAGACATGCAGAGGCTCATAGAATTGTGGAAAGGATTGAAAAACCAGAGATTAGGGTGTATCATGGACTGATTAAGGGGCTCATAAGGTCAAGGAGGCCGAGTGAAGCAACACAAGTGTTCAGAGAGATGATAAAAAGAGGTATTGAGCCTACAATGCACACATATATTATGCTATTGCAAGGGCATTTGGGGAAGAGAGGGAGGAAGGGGCCAGACCCACTTGTAAATTTTGAGTCCATTTTTGTTGGAGGTTTGATTAAGGCTGGGAAGTCATTAGAAGCCACCAAATATGTAGAGAGGACAATGAAAGGATCACTTGAGGTGCCTAGGTTTGATTACAGTAAGTTTTTGCATTATTATTCAAGCGAGGAAGGAGTGGTTATGTTTGAGGAGGTGGGGAAGAAATTGAGGAAGGCTGGGTTTGTGGATTTGGCAGATATACTGCAGAGGTATGGGGAGAAAATGGCTACTAGAGAGAGGAGGAGAAACAGAGCAGTTGAATCATGAGAAGACTCTCTGAGTTAATTAATGCTTCTGAATAAGGTGCGAATTTGATGGCTGCGTTTTCAAATGTCCAGGTAAAATAGTGATAATGGGAATATTTTTAAAGGTTTCTTTTCACTGAGTTGCTATTTTATTAAGTGAATTATTAAGTGGGTTTCATCCACTGCTACTTTCTTGCCATGCTGGGGTTTATGATAAAATGTTGTTACTTAGTTCATTGATACTGGTGCTGGTTTAAATTTGAACTCGTCCTTTTAGCTCATGGAGAGTGTGGTAGAAACGCTAATGTTAACTAGTTTGTTCTTCCTGATAAAAAGGATGCTCTGTTCGTTTGCCCTTTAATTCCCTTTGCCGAGATTTGTTATCCTTTACAACATGGGAGCTGATGAAAGAATCGAGCGAGAAAAGAAATTTAGAAGTATGAAGGTGCCCCTTGTCAAATAAATTTTCTTAATTTCCTTTAATGTTGTTACATTTGGCATATCCACGTTATTTTCATGGCCTGTCGAAGTAAATACATTCAATTTGATCATGGCCACTTGAAGCTGTAGAATACTACTCATCATTCATAACTTTTGCTTCTCCATCACTTGATTATATGAATCAAAGTTATTTTTGAGGATGATACCTTATTATGCATGTAAATTGTCTTCCATTATTGTTGTTAACACTTATCATCAATTGGTTGAAGATGTATTAGAGGAATAGGTATATCTCTTGATATCACGTTGTCTATTTGCACAGTTCTGATATTCTAGAGAGCAACTTGAAACTGCTATTGATTATATGTATCATTGTTGCACTCCTAACTGCTCAAAGCCTTGCAAAAGTATTTTACTGTACTGAGTTTGTAAGAAATAGAAACAAGAAGCAATATTATGGATGAATTACCAGGCCTCGATTTTAGGGAATCTGGTTGAGAATTTTTTATGAATAGTGTGGTTCAGAATTCCTTGCAATTTTAATTGACGTTTGTAAGATACTCAGATAATTCTGTAGCAACTGTAGATTTTTAATTCAATGGTTGATTTAAGTTGAAATACTTGAATTACTGTTCTCCCATAAGAATATCATCTTGATCATTTGCTATTACTGTTACAAAATGATTTTTTCGTTTCATTGTTTTGTATTTCTTTAACTTGAATACTACCTGTAATATCATTATATGATCATCTTTGTCAAACGGTAATAAATAGACATTATTTCACTTTAACGACTAACAAAGGGTAAGAAGTTGGACGGCTATGCAAAATACTTCACATTTACAAGTGAGAGATTAGAGAACTATACACTCCTGTCTATATCGTTTCATTATCTTGACATATTCTATATTGTGTCCTTTTATTTTTTTGGTTTTAATTCTATGTTGTTATTTGGTTGGGTAATCAAATCACAGAGGAATTCTCTACTATTTGCAGTTCGCACCAAGTGATTGACTGATGGACGAAAATTTGGCTCAAGGACAGTGATCATATCACTTCTTGGTCATGATATCCATTATATTGATACGATTATTTAATCATTATCTGTTTAGTGTATGATATTATTTTGATCACATGGCTTTTCGTGGTCTTGGCTCGTGTTTGTTTTGCAATGGCTAAAATATTTCCAAGAGCAACAAAGCTGAATTGTCTTGTATTATGCAGGTCAAGTGAAATGGTTTTGAGATTTACGCACGTGGGAGTGATATTACCAGATTGAGTGACCAAAGATGACAAGTTCTGTCAACAGGCAAATTGAGGTTTTGAAATGCAATGTGGATGCTCCATGATGGCAGTCTTGGAAGAAGAGTACCAGCAGAGGTGGGCTAGGGATTAATTACAGAGATGATGAAGCTGTGGCCTAGCACCTATAAGTTGTGTGATGTAACTTAATCATGAAAGAGTGAGTTCTACTACTCAAGAGGGTTGGTTTGAGTGGAATGAGCTCTAATCGTTTAAACAAATAGTTTTGGGTTCGAATTCTTATGTATGTAGAAAACTTCCTTGATAGCTATGTTCGTTTTGTGCGTCCAATTGAATAACGAGATATTAGTCTGGATTTTTGAATCTGAGATATCTTGAGAATTCAAAAAAAAATAAAAGGAAAGAGTGAGTTCTACTACCCATGGGTTGATAGTTCGGTTATGATGCAATGTAAAGTATACTTCCTAAGTTTAGGGATTTAGTTGGGGAATAAATTCATCGTATTAGTGGTAATGGGAAAACAATAAAGCTATAGTGGGATTTTTGACATCCAAATGAGATTTTCATCAAAGTTTTGACATAAAAATATTGAATGATTCTAGTATTCTAATTTATACTTCGTTAGAGGTTATGAAGGATGGAGATTGGTTTTAGCCTAATGTTAGAAAAAGCTATGATAAAAGTGCAATTTTGCTATATATGGCATGGCATGTTTATGTCTGATGTCAATTTCGGTTAAAAAATTATATAAAAAGTTATATTAAATTACGAATTCATAACTAAAAGCGCTTATGAGCTAATGAGAAATAAAAAAACTAAAATAGTATGATATAAAATTGTTTGAGAAGCGTTGAACATTGCTCAACATAGTTTTATGTTTTAACTTGCAATTTTAAATCGATTATTCGTTAAAAATAGTCAAATTCAAATGGGAAGGAATACTAATGTTGTTTGTTTGATCATTTATTTTCTAAATGTTTTTATTATAAGATTGTGTGAAATACTAATCGTTTTAAATATGTATTTTTATAAAGTAACTGAAAGTTGAAGTATGGAGTTACAGACTACAAAGCATTTGTTAAAAAAAGGCAAATCTTAATCTATTATTACTAAATTGATATGAAATGCAACTATTTATGAATTGTAAAAGTAAAGAAACTGTAAAATGATAGATTTGTTAGATTTTTTGATACATGTTACGAAATTCTAACTTTTTAAATAAATCATATTTAATTTTAATTTGAATTTTATTTATATTTCATGGATGCTATTTTAATATATTTCATGTATATATCATGAATTTACTTTTTGTAATAGAATACGTTTGTACTTGTTTTTTTTTTTTTTTTTAATGATAAAATTTCACTTAACAAAAAAGTGATGTAACTTAAAGCAGTAGCACAAAAGCAGCACATGTCATAGCTGGCAGCGATTTGACTTGGGCACAGATTGCTTGGTGCCTACACCTGATGTCTAGGTGGGTGGATAGATCCAGACCAGTTGGCGTGGAAGCGCTCTTGCACTATGCAGTTTCATTGGCCCAAGAAACCAATATTTCGGTGCCAACGTTAAGAGAAATTGAAATTTGTTCACACGCCAGCAAAGCATCGCTTGCAGAATCCTGACGTGGAAATGACTCGGAAAAAACTTTCATCCCATCAGTAGCTAATCCACGGAGGATCACATGAGCTGTTAATGCACTAATCTGTACATCTGTTGATTTGATTATGATTGTTAAGAAAGAAATCATCATCTGTTATTTGTTACAAAAAGGGGTGTGCATCTATCTTTCTTTCATTAATTTGATCCTGCTACAGAGCTGGCTAATTTAATCAGTCTTCAATAATCGAGTTTGGTACCACCAATAAAAGATGCTTCCTTTAATTCAATGAGAGCAACTCATATCCAGTTAGGGATGGTAACGGGGTAGGGGCGAGGATAGCCATTCCCGTCTCCGTCCCGTGACTCATTTAGAGCATATTTTGTGTATTATTTCTGTCTCAAACAGGACGGAATGTCGTCAGATTATCATTTCTAAAAGTAAAAGGACGGGATCCAGTGGAGGCGCACCAAACGGTAAAATACGGAGGCGTCCACAACAAAATTTTGCCACTACCTAATTAGCTACTAATCTTTCCCATATTCACGAAACTACCCTGGAACCAACCATTCCACTAGGCCACCATGGACCACCACTTCAAAAAGTACAAAAAGTAGAAAAGAAATTCGTGCCTGCCCGTCCCCTAAACCTGGACCCGGAGAAAATAAAATTCGTCCATTTTTAACCGATTTCTTTTAGCTAGCCCTGCTTCACATCATTACCTTCCACTTTCCATCTTCACCGTTGGCCAAATTTTTTTTACCAAAGAAGAACATTAGTATCGTTCTTCAACTACCCTCTCAAGTCTCCCCAATTCACCGATGTTCAGACTTAAGAGAATATGCCAACTCCACAGATTAATCAGAACCAACGGTCTCGATTTAGCGTAGACGGAATCACGAACATGACTACGATGGAAACTTCTTAAATAATAATAATAAAAAGGTTGCAGAAAAAAACATTCCTGTGCACATGCATCCACCGCATATTTCTCACTGATACATCAGCGCCGTACGCAACTACCACCAGTAAAAATATACCATCATACTCACACTCCCGCTCACGCTTAAGCCAACAGCTGCACGACAGGCACCGTCACAGCCGGTTCTACCAAGGCGCTAACCGCACGGCTTGCGTGTATTCGCAGCTGGTAACGTGGCAAAATCGTCACTGTCCACCACATCCAACGGTCTAAACACGCCATCACGTCTCTCTCCAAATGCAAAGTGTCCAAAACCAACAGCCAGAGAGAAAGGAGAAGAGTGATAAGTGCAGGGGAGCGATAAGTGGAGGAGCGCAAGACGATTAGTTAACAAGTCAATTCATAAAAAAACTAAAAAATACGAAAATTACAAAAAATCTATTACTATTAAATTAAGCTAGAGAGAGATCAGATTAGATCATAATCATAGCCAACCGTTTCTGTGTCATATGGTATGGGTCAAAAGTGAGTAGATAGCAACACCAGAGAGAGACTCTCTCTCTCTCTCTCTCTCTCTTTTGTTTCCTTCTTTTTAATTCTTAGGAGAAGATTTGATTCTTTTTTAATAATGGTCGGTTAGTTTGTTTGGATTTAAAAAAAAAAAAAAAAAGTGAAAGCTTCAAACTCACGCTTGAAAAGCAAACTCACGGTCGTTTTATAAAGTGGGAAAGAGAGTGAGAGAGTGCTAGTGTTGTTTTTTTTTGTTTCGGTGAAAATGCCGGAGATGAGAGGAGGAGGGTTGAACACGTGGCAAGACGAGCTAGCGAGTTTAGTGGATGACAGTGGAATCCGATATACCGGAGAGCCAGTGGATACAATGGCGGCTCCACCGCCGATATTTACTGCAACAAGAATAATGGAATCGGAGTCGGAAATGGAAAGGGAAACGGAGAGTTTGAAGGAGCAAGTGACGGGGTTTTTGAAGTCGTGGGGAGAGATGTTGGTAGATTTCGGGAAAGGATGTAAAGATATAGTGACGCAAAGTAATTTGGTGACTGAAGATTCGTTTATTGTGCAAAAATTTGGAAAGCCAATGGCTAAAGCTTCGGCCAGGTTAAAGTATTTGAATGAGTTTTTGCCTGAGGATCGTGACCCTGCCCTTGCTTGGCCAGTTATTTTCTTCGTCTTTATTCTCGCTCTTACAGGTAACATAAGTAATAATAATATATTTCATCTTTTTTCCATGAATTTGAGCTTTAAATAATTTTTGTCAATTTTGTACTCAATTTATGCCGTAGTAATGCTGGCTGGATTACTTAGATCTGTGTATATGTTGAGAAAATATCTAATCCGATTCGTTATATATATATACATCATTCAGTTCTATGCTCTGGCTTTGTGATTCGACTGACTATATGATTTGTTCGTGTTTTCAAAAAATGAGCAGCAATAAGTGTACATAGCACAAATGATAGCTTGGTTCCGTTGGTAAAGAAAATGCTTGTACATCCGCCTAGTGCTAATCGCATACTGCTTCCTGATGGTCGACACATGGCTTATCTTGAGCAAGGTGTTCCGGCTGACAGAGCAAGATTTTCTGTGATTGCTTCGCATTCTTTTCTTTCCTCTCGACTTGCAGGTATGGATGAGGAACTGGGAATTATGGACTCTACCCGGTGACTTATCAATTTGATGCTGATTTTCATTTTTAATGATTTGACCTTTGAAAGGTATGCCTGGAGTTAAAACATCGTTGCTTGAAGAGTTTGGTGTTCGCTTGATCACGTATGATCTTCCTGGTTTTGGAGAGAGCGATCCTCATACCAGCAGAAATCTTAACTCATCGGCAATGGACATGTTCTACCTAGCTGATGCTGTTGGTGTTAATGGAAAATTTTGGGTGCTGGGTTACTCAAGTGGAAGCATGCATTCTTGGGCTGCACTTAGATACATTCCTGACAAAATTGCTGGTATGTCAGCCTTGTTATTTTTATAAATGTGATTTATTATGAACCCCCACAAAATCTTGACCTTACTTTTATATGTTTGTATTTTGAAACTAATACCCTTATTTTATGATAATATTGGCAAAACTTTCTCATGATTCTTTCTTTTTCCAGCTTGATAATGTCAACAAAGGTATATTCTTATTGAGTTATAGTTAGCTGGGATTGGATTAACGAGATTCAAGCTGGGAAGGTTGAACTTGGCAGCATATAAAAGGACAGTATTGAATTTTGAGAATGAGAATGTAAATCTACCGCAGCAACTAAAAGCTTGTATCAACATCCTAGCCAGCTGAGGTTTCGTAGATAAAAAATGGCTATAGCTATAGTTAGATGAATTCGTATCTTAAGAGACTTTCACAAGACTAGTTCATCAGATAGGTTAGTTTCATGTTAGAGGGTTAAAAACTAGGATGAATCTAATAATTTTGCTCTGGGATCAGCAGGAAAGGTACCATGCATGTGCACTACAAAGTTCCCTGGATAGGAAATAGTTGGTACCATTGTTATACAATATGTGATGTTTTCAATTTATGACAAACTTTGGACTTTTTGGACACTGGCTACTGTAAGCAGAGTATTCTTGTACCCCTCATCTCAATTCCAGCCTACCTCACGAGTAGAACTTTCACATTCTCAGATCACATCTACATATCAATAAACATAAAAATGTGATGAATCATATCCTTCCTACTCAGTATTTCTTAGTCATTCAATCAAGAGTCTGTATTTCATGGGATAAATGTCGCATGTAACTTATCGTGATATTCTTTACTGAATTTGCAGGTGCTGGCATGTTTGCTCCAATGATTAATCCATATGACCGAAGCATGACTAAAGAAGAGATGAGAAGAACATGGGATCAGTGGTCCCCGAGAAGGAAGCTATTGTACTTCTTAGCTCGGAAATTTCCGAACTTCCTCTCTTATTTTTATCACCGAAGCTTCCTGTCTGGAAATCATGGTCAAATTGATAAGTGGATGTCTCAATCACTTGGAAAGAAGGTTAGTTTTTGTTATCTAAAGTTGCCTCTCAGAGGATTTAAGTCTTCTCCATTTGCATTAACTTTTGTAATCTTCAACCTCTTTTTGTTATTATTATAATATGGATGAACCATGAGGATTTCAACAAGTGTCCAAGAACCAGTACTACGAGGGGAAACATATGACATCATTCTTGTATTTCTGAGTACTTGAAAGAAATAACCTGGTTTCTGTTTCTGACGCATTGGACAATTTACTTGTTTGGACAGCCTTCATAGCCTACAACTAGTTGTGAAGGATTCTATTTTTATAACTATTTTTATAACATGAGCTTGACATGTTCAGGATGAAATTCTGATCGAGGAGCCAATGTTTGAGGAGTTTTGGCATAGGGATGTGGAGGAGTCGATACGCCAGGGGAGTACAAAACCATTCATTGAGGAAGCTGTGCTACAGGTATCAAACTGGGGTTTCAGCCTAGCAGATCTTCAGGTGCAGAGGAAGTGCCAGAGGAATGGCATTCTTCATTGGCTGAGGTCCATGTACAGTCAGGCAGAATGTAAATTGGCCGGATTTCTTGGTCCCATACACATCTGGCAGGTTTGTGAAATTTGAAATCTTCTTTCATGATAGCTGCTGCTTCACTGTCCTGATTAGTTCACAGTATATTATTTCCAAGTGGATTGTTTACTTTGTTTTGTTTTGAAGTTAGGTTGGAATTCGTTGTTATAATAAAGATAGCATTTGCATACTGTTTTATAAATTGAAAACTCCCGTCCCCTTTTTAACCATAAAGGGACCAAGGTAACATTCTAAAAGGCCCTGAAATCTCTGCCAGAGTTGTTTTCTGAGAATACCGTCTCTATTTTGTAAATAGAATTAACTTATTGGCAGTATAGTTAACTTAAATTTTCAATCATTAAAACATAAAAATCCAAATACTGATTCCATTATACAATTATCACATTGCAAAGTGCAACCTAAGTTGTTTTTGTTTTATTTGTTGATTGATGCTGAACAGGGGATGGATGATCGAGTAGTGCCACCATCAATGACTGATTACATAAGCCGGGTTCTACCAGGGGCCAACTTGCATAAGCTCCCAAATGAAGGCCACTTTTCCTACTACTTTTTCTGTGAAGAATGCCATAGACAGATATTCTCTACTCTTTTTGGAGAGGCTCTAGGTCCTCTTGACAAGATGGTGGAAAGGGATGAAACTTCATTTGAAGCAGAGATGGTGGAAGTATCATCCACTACTGGTTCTGTCAGGAAATGATATGTCAGTACAGTTATACTCCTTTTAGCATGAAGGAAATCAATGTAAATACCACACGGCACTGGAGCATGAAGAGATTTAATTTTAGGTGTTATCTGTTTCCAAATTTTTGAATGATGGGCAATATGGTGGGAGGAGAGCAGTAGAAAGGCAAGGAGGCAGCAAATTCTGATGAAGGTTTTTCTTTACATAGTGAATTCTCAATAGTTTTCGTATTCTTCAATACTGTCTTTAACCTCTACAGGACTGAGTAGCAACATCGACATTGGATCATATCGTCCGATTTCCATTTTTTATTCCTCCTTTTTTTGTCTCTATGGGCACTTCTCTTCCCGAGAAATCAATTAAACTAAAGATGGACTTGAATGTGATTCATTCCAGCTCCGAATATATGAAAAGATTTACACAACATCCTGGAAATAATATTCCCTAGATGAGCCATTCAGACTGTAAATAGATTTGTTTCCAGTTTTAGGCAGTTTTGAGAAATTATCTTTTGTGGAAGAAGTAAACAACCGTTTCAAACTTTCGACACTGAAGTGACAATTGGATTTTATATTGGTTTGAGAAGCCAGCACTATCGATGATAAACATTCATTTCGGTTTGGTACATTATGAACGTGAATGACGAAAACACAAGGCATGAGGAACAGTTGCCCCAAAAGTTGAATGGACCTTCGGCCATGCTATTTGTGTGCCGTGTTTCCCTCACCTCAGTTTTGCGTTATTCAACGCTAATCATCAAGGCTTGTAAAGCCTTCGAGATGCTGGTACGGCACGATGACTTGGATAGCTTTGACAGCGTAGTTAGTTGATTATATCTACTGCAGTGAGCATATATGTTTCTGATGCAACAAAAACTATGAGATTGAAGTCGTGGAAAACCTGGCAGAGAAGGCGATTTGCATAATCTGCCCAACTGTGCGTGTAGAATTTTGCAATCATTATTATGGCCACAAATCATTAATGAACAACAAATGTATATATGAACGTAAAACATATAACAGTTTACTAGCATACACAGTAGAATTCAACGGAATTAAAAGCATAAAAAACGAGAGCTGCAAATGTCAGAATAGAGTGTGGACTCTTTCCTTATATCCTTCTGGTAAAGACTTTCTCAGGGTTTATGGGCCACGTCAGAACAAGAAAACAAAAAACAGCAGTCAAAACCATTATCATGATCAATAACATCTCAAGCCGAAAGACAGTTTGTTTCCCTCGCATTATACAAATTCATGAAGAAGAAATACAAATGGACTTTCAGTTGGTGGACATCTACTGGATCCAAAAAAATCAATTAAACAGAGAACCAGAGCTTTCTTACTTCAGTAGTTCTATCCACAAATTCGACTCCGCTGTAAATGGCAATTTTGTTTTGGAACAAAGTCAATAGGCACTAAAATGCAGATCCACCGCCCTTCGTTTTTCCAAGTAAGACATCTTTTGCTTCATTTATTTTAGAAGCAAGGTAATGGCTGCCACCTGCATCTGGATGGTTTGCAACCATCACCCTCCTATGTGCTTCCTTAACCTTATCTGTTGCAGTACTTTCCCTGTAAAAGATAACAAAGTAGCAAAACTATCCGTAAGAATCTCTCAGAGAAAATGTAGATAGATCTCCACAGATGGATACATGCTACAGTGTGAAGAAGAGATACGGAGGAGTAAACAACATGTGGTTGCAAAATTGCATAAGCCAGGGCAGAGGTTGTTGCTTGGCAAAATTATAAATGACTTGTGATTGCAGCTGTAAGAATGCAGGTTGCAGTTTTGAGAACAGCCACTTCATAATCATATGCAGTGGTCATCAAATTTGAGAAAATAATAAAGGTGGACAGGAATACACCTAAGTAAATTGCAATGATTGTGCACCTTATGAGCAAATCCATACACCTAAGTCAATCTAACATAGAATGGACATTTCTGTCCATACGCATGCAAGTCAAGATAGTACGTGAGCCAATAGACATGAAGCAACCATACACCTGAATCAATCTAATATAGAATGAACCTTCCTGTTCAAACAGGTGTGGTCTAGAAGGTACTTACACTCAGGTCAGTCGAGCTCATGTCTGCTAATGAACTTTTCTGTTCAAACAGGTGTGTGGGTCTCGAAGGTAATTGCACTCAGATCAATCAAGCTCATGCCGATGATAGAACTGCCTAAAGGCTTCATCAGCAAAAGTAGGCACATAAGTTACTAGCTGGAAACCATAATCTGATAACAATAACAACAACAACACTCCCCACCCTCATGATTAAGGATGCTCATCCTTTTGCAAGGGTGACGCCATGGACTCCCTTTACTTCTCGTCGCTATCAGGCAGGCCAAGTTCATCAGATAAGCAGAAAGATTTAAGAGACTGCAGATCTGACAGGAAGAGTAGGAAGTTACTCTACCAGTATATTAGTTATGAGAATGGAAGTAAGCCAAATTGGGCATGGCCAGGCAAAGACAAGTCAAGTTCTGAGAAGCTTTTGTAAGCTCCATTTGAGTTTCACGTTACTCAAAACAAACTTGAGCATGACCACAAAATCATGAGCTAAGCTCTAAAAGCTTTTGTAAGCTCTATCTAAGTTTCAGGACCCTCAAAACAGTCAGATGTGAGTAAATCAGCTCAAACATCAAAATATCTGATGAGTTCAGCTCATTCCTGTTAAGATTGGCAGGTCAAAGCCACCACGACGTGATCCCAACTAAAAAGGTTCATTTTGCTGCTTCTAGAAGACATTAACAAATACACCAAGAGCAAAAATAAAAAAGAAAGGGCAACACCCAAAGACTAGAGGCAAAAGCAAACAAAGTAATTGTACAACATTTCTAGCACATGGAAAACAATGATGCATATCCTAAGGTTACATATTATGTGCTAACTAAGATGCCCTCAACATCACTTGGATCATTTAGTTAATATCTTTGAGATTTAGGTTGTAATAAGCTACTTGGAACAGGTTATGGCTTAAAGAATTATGAGGCACCAAAAAAGCACGAATTCATTTCATTTTTTCAATCTAGATAATGGGTTTAAAGCAGCTTTATTTACACAGTTTCCAATGATCCCTGTACCCAAGCACACACGTGATCATGCACACACTGACACACAATAACAGGAAATATTGTTACTGTTGAACTTTGAGGGGGTGGCAATAGCCGGCACTTCAGTTTCTAATGCCAAAATGCTGATTTTATTGTAAAATTATCATACACAACTTTGCCATTGCAACTTACATCACTAGTGCTTCATCACATGCACATTGTTTAAATGCACGCTATCATCACATACACATTGAAAGAAAAGAACTTCTTACTAACACCATCAATACTTAATATGTATCTAAAAACAAAAAACCTAACACAGTACCTGACTCCAAGTATTAGAGCTGCTTCTCTCCTCGTCATGACAGTTTGAAAACCGCCTTCATAAAATTTACGCATTCTAGCAGTTGGTGGTCTTGCTTTGAATGCCTGCCAAGCCTGGATGCCATATCTTCCAGCATAAGCTGTAGCTGCTATTGCCATGCCCATTATCAATGGTGTAGCCTAAAGCAAAATGTTCATTTAACTTCATTATGAACACAAAAAATAAAAATAAAAACTAACAAATGATACTTCCCTTTCTAATTCAATAAATCATTCCAAATCGTGGTGTGATTCTCAAACTTAAACTTAATCTAGCTGACAGACAGCAAAGAAAATTTTGACAAAAAAGAAGAAGAAGAGGAATTCTTTTATTAGTTCGGCTGCTGATAAAACGAAAGAAAGGCAAAGCCCAATCGATTTCTAAAGAATGAACAAAAAATTATAATCGCAACAATTTTCTTTGCTTTTCTGCATAAATTTCTCGGCAACCAAACAGGTCGTAATCTAAATCTATCAAAAAAGTCAAAATCCTAATGCAATAAATAATCATATAATTAGAACCCTAAAAAAGAGAATCAGGTAAGAAGATATATATATATATATATAGAGAGAGAGAGAGAGAGAGAGAGTGACTCACCATTTCTGAAATGACTGAGAGCTGGAGGAAAAGGAAAAGAGCATTCGCGGGCTCAAAGGTTTTGATTTTTGTTCGTTTTATGTATTGCAACGTTAGGTTGTTAGGGTTTCGCTTCCCTGAGATTTTTTATTTTTTTTCTTTGCGTGCGCAGCGCCGTCACCTCATCAATTGAATTAAATGGAAAAAAAAAAAGTTATCGGAAACTATTACTAGCATACACAATTAGCCACATTCTAACCATTTTGTATTAGACAGATTTTTTTATTATTATATTTATATGTAGAGAAAGAGGGCTATCCCATGTATAGCCCAAGGAACAAACCAAAATATATATATCGTTAGTATATATTATTTTTATTTTAGATGGATATAGGCAATAAGTTATCAAAAAAAAAAAGAAAAAAAAGTGACAGATAATGGGAATATAATATTATAATCAGTGAACTTTTCTTGTTTATATACTTTATTTTAATCAAAAAACACAAAATTAGAGTTGATATTTTTTTTTAACTCCAATAAAGAAATCTTATGCAGACCGTTATGGTGGTGATAATCCATGGAAACATTTGGTGACATGAGTCCAAGATATTCACGATTCGGAAGGAAAAACAAAATAAAATTGAGATGCTAAACATTTTATTATTTTATATATATTTTGTATGTTAAAATATCTAACATTTCCAACGAGTGCAAATGGTAATGCTATTACAAATAGTACAAAAGATTTGTTGTTCAAGACAAGTAATTTATTTGCAATAGTATCATTGTTTAAATGTTAGTTGGTTAAAAAGGACAATCTTAGCTTTCAATAAATCGAAGTTTATTATAATTAAAAACAGAGAGTTATCATTGTCAAACAACATTTTCAATCCAAAAACTTAAAATGAGTTTAAAATTTGTAAAGACTCATCACTTATTTATGCTTGATTATTTAATTAGAAGATAGAAAGTGAAAATGATGAGATTAGAACTCATGACACTTAAATCATCAAGAATGCGATATCATATCAAAAAATCATCTCAATCTAAAAATTTAAACTAATTAGTGAGACATTAGGAATAGTTTATAAGAATCATCTTAACCTAAAAACTTAAGCCGATAGGTGAAGCTATAAGAATAACTTTATATTATTCTCTAGCAATCATGTCTCATATATTTTGTTCAACACTCGAATTATTTATTTAAAAAATTTTAACAATCACACACACATATCTAGAGAATATCATAACAAATAAAAAAGAAAAAATTACACAATAAAATTATTTTATGTGGTTCAATTATAAGCGAGTCTATAAGTGAAGATGAGATTTTTTAATAATAGTTAAAATCAATACAATTTTGGAAAACTCTCAAACTAGAATTCTAAGTATACCTAATCTTCATAGCACACAATTTGACCCACTAGAAAAATTGGTTATATGTTTTAGTCCTAATAGGTAGATAAATAGTAACAATCCTACAACTACAAAGTTTTCAATGCTAGACAAAACTAATCCCATGCCCATAAGGATTTCTTTGTCAAGTTCTTATACTATTAGGATTAGAATTCATGCCATGACAAATCTCTAACTTGGTTTGAATTTCTTTAAATAGCTAAAACTCTCCACCTTTGCCATCAAGCCCTTCGAGGACTAAATCATGTTGTTGCTTGTTATAGAAATCAAGTCCTATTAATGCTTGAACTTAGACAACATATCAATTAGATTATCTCGCTATACCAATCGTTTTTATAATAATATCATCTAAAATAATAATATTTAAAATGAAATGATACCTAACATCAATATGCTTTGTCTCGTCACGGAACATGTAACCCTTAGCCGGATGCATGACGCTTTAACTATTACAATGCACAATAGTCGAATCTTGATCGCAATTGAGCTCTCTAAACTACCTATGTGGCAAACAATACCACAATAGATTGTAAAATGGCCTTTAAACTAATAGCACAACTACCAATGTTGAATATATAGCTTGTGATAAATCTTCTATGATTGAGACTTCTAGTATAATCAAAGTCAAAATAACTAATAATACAACCAATATGTCTCCTTTAAACAAAGAAACTATCCTACATACATTTCAAATAATAAAAGATCCATTTCGTAACTTGTCGTCGATCATACTTAATTTTACTATAACTATTATCGACCATAAAGGTATCAAACCTCTTATACCATTGTCGAAGAGACGTTTAAGTCCATACAAAGACTTTTTGAGTAGGCACACATAATATTCTTAGAGTAATCATCAATGAAAATTAGCATATACATGACACCACCTTTAGAAGGCATTTTAGAAGGCCCTTAAAGATCAAAATACATATAATATAAAGTACTTTTGGTCTTGTGAACCGCACAATAAAAAGTAATTTGCTTTTGGTTACCTAATATGCGGTGCTAATAAAAACCTAATATGTACTTTAGCTATACTCATTCTACATTTCCTCATGTGCCTAAGTGTCATGTGTCATAATCGATTACATTCGAATCGACATGAAAGATGAGAAAAGTGCAAAAACTTCAATAATTATAACACCCTACAACATATATAAGCTAGGCTACGCTTTTTTGCCTTTATAGTAACAAGTGCACCCTTGGTGAGTCGCATGACTCCCTCTTTAAAGGAGTACTTTTACCTTTTATTATCAAGAGTACTTAGAAAACATATTCTTTTCTTCATACCGAAAATATGTTTGACATCGGTAAGTGTTCTAATTACTTAATCATGCATTTTGATCCGAACAATCCCAATTCCAACAACCTTTATAGGAGTATTATCATGCATCGAAACAATCCTACTATTAACAAACTCATATGTGTAAAACCGAGTCTTATTAAGAGTATATGAAACAAATAACCATTATCCATTATCCAATTGTTATCTTTCTTCTTTTGAACATTATCATCCTTATTAGAATTTTGATTTTTCTTCTTTCATTTAGGATAGTTAGCTCTAATGTCCTTTTTTTTTTTTTTACAATAAAAACATATCAAATTTTTATGCCATGATTGTAAGCTACTAAGATCACCATTGTTTTTTGAACCTCTTTCTCTAGACTTGTCTTTTGTAATAAGTGCATCCATATGGTTAAAGTGTTATCTTTAAAAATAGCAAAGACTCTAAAATTATAATTTTTTTTCTTAATTGAAAAATCTCTCTAAAATTTTGATATATAGAAAATAAAAAACATAGCAATAAAAAAACACGACCATTATCAAAGCCGTGAAGCACCATTAGACAATAAATTGTAATAGTTGACTTAAACTCCTTAAGATGAGACTTTATTGGTGTATCTTTTTTCATATATATACGAGTAGAATTTGTCCGTCGGCAACTTGGTCATGTACAAGGATTCCAACTTTACACACAAATTACATGTGGTCATTTCGGTCATTACCTATCGTAAAACTCCATTCGATAAATAGAATTGGAACACCATCAAGACTCTATCATCATCCTCTTTTATTTATCACTCGTAGCTTGCTTCTTTTCTTGACCTTCAAGAACTTTCTTTAAACCTTTTTGGTAAATAATCACTCCCATCTTGACACATCACAAGCTAAAATTGTCGAGTCCATCAAACTTTTCGATTATCAAGTAGTGATTAAGACATTTTGCTTTGAGAAAATCAATCACAAAACAACAAACCCATAGCTCCGCTATCGGTTCGTTAAAGATCACACACACAAATTTAGAGAATATCACATAACAAAGAAACAATCACATAATATAATGATTTTTTGTGGTTCAACTATGCTCGTATCTACAAGTAAAAAGGATAAATTTTACTATAGTTCAAAATCAATACAGTTTTGTAAAACTCTTAAATCTGAATCCAAAATACATCAAATCCTCCCCCTGCATGATAACTCACAAGAGCATTCAAATTGGCCCACTAGAAAAATAGGTCTAGGCACATATTTATTGAAAATATGTCTTCGTCTTGATGGATAGAGAATTAATAACAATCCTAAACCTACAAGTTTTTAATGCTAGCCAAAACCAATACTAAGCCTATATGGATTCCAAAGCCCTTGTATAATTAGGATTAAATTTATCTCGCATCATTGCACGAAACAACACAGCCCTTGTGTGTACTTGACGAGGGAGAGCTAGTCAGTTCATAAAAGTCAGAGTACAAGAATGGTGACCGCCTCGTGCCGTGTTCCCAATTCGTCCGGTCCTCAAGGAAAGTCTTATAGCACCATGAAAACATTGGGTGGTAATCGAACTCTTACGCAGATCCATTTGTCGTAAATTTTTAGCATAAAGAATCGAACAAAATAGAAGCCTAATTAAAGGAGGCATGAAGGTTATTGACATAGGCTGGGATTTCTATATAGTGGAGCTGAGCCGAAGATTCGAACATTGTACGGTCGAAGGGTCCATGGCTCCTTCAAGAAAACTACCTCACGGTTAGGAAAATGGATTCCTGATTTATAAATGCTCTCGGAGTTCATTGAAATCGGACTCTTGCCTGGGTGAGGTTCGCTGGGTTATCATCAATGGATAATGACGAGGATGATCTTCTCTGCCCTATGGTTTCTTATTGGAACGCGAGCTGATAGAAATAGATTCAATACTTCCTTGACCAATAGGAGAGGGAGAATATTGGCCTGCATTTGTATGGATATTGACCTCGCTAAACCTTTGGTTGCCAAACTTCTGGTGAATGGAAATGTTCAGCCCGTTGAATATGAGGATTCCACAGGTTTTGATTCAACTGCGGAAAAATTGCCACTCCGTTAAGGCAAGCTTCCTGAGAAGCTGGCAATGTTGGTGGCCAGTGGACACGAACATAAGGGCTGCACAAACGAGTCAAACGGCACTAGTGTGCGTATATAACAGATATCAAGCAGCTTATCTAGTAGTGTAATCCTTAACTCCAATCGATTGTTATAAAAATGTACATGGGAGCTCGCGAGTCAACCCTGGACGTGCTGGAGCTGGAGGTCTTATTCGGGATCACAAAAGTGCACCTGGCTTGTGGGTTTCTCTTGCCAATTGGCTATGCCACGAAAAGTCAGGCCGAGTTTACAGGGTATGCGTCCAGGCCTCCTCCTAGCTTGGAGCAGGGAGCATCGTAATGTGATGCTAGGTTTGGTTCTTTAGATGCAATCAGGCTTGTGCAGCTTCATTCATTAGAGTTTCATCCCCAAGGCACGCTTATAGCAGGTGTATGTGTAATTCCGGTAGGTTTTGCAACGATACTCATGAGATTAATCATGTGCTCCATTTTGTTGCTAAGCTTGGCAAGCCGAGGAGGCTGATCGTGTTCTCGGTTACAACAGCTCCTCCCGGCATTGACTGCAATGTTCTTCACATAGATTTCGTGTTGCCCGTTTCAGGCTTTTGAAACTCAATTTCTGTCATCTTTGGTAAGGTACAGAAGTGATCGAAGTTACATTTTTTCTGTCTTTCCGGGATCTTGCTTTGCTGTTCCTAATTTTTGGCATTGGTTTTGCTATCTTAACTGAGAATGACTCGATGGTAAATAGCATTGATGAAAATGTACTGAAGTCGAAACTTGCCCTACCTTTGTTATACGCTTCAAGGATAAATGAAATGTGAGCCACTCTGTGTGATCCGGATTGCCATTTATCACCATATGAGTTCAAGAATGACCAGGAAAAATACATCCATTGTTACAAGCCTATTCAATGAATAAAGCAAGTCTAAAATATTGAATGATTGTCGTTAGAGGAGAGAACGTAGATGTCTCGAAGGCAATATTGAACATTATTTTTTGTAGTACAAATATAAAGACCTCAAACAATAGAAATAAGAGTAAATATCAACAAATAGAAACGAACGAATAATAAGCAGAACCCATGAACCAGCTAATTTCACCCCAAACTGCAACACTTTCTGACCAATGAATAAATAATTAACAGCAGTAAAAGCAGAAGATTCAGAAATCAAATGATCCTTGTCTTCTCTTTTTATCCACCTGTTAAATGGATATAATTACTCCTCATTCAATTCCTCAACACTTGAATTAAATGCCATCGCCAACAGCCACACTGTTTTCTGCTTTTAAGCTGCTTTCCAACTTCGGGGGACCTGAATGCCTCCTTCCTTTGGCTGGTGATGGAGGGTAGGAAAGCCGTTTCTTTGCAGACCCCAAAGGTCCCTTTTCCTTTTCTGGCATCTCGGTCTTCTCTGCCCCCATTGGGCTTTGTAATCTGGACTTTGCTCTTGCAGATTCTGTAGGTACCATGTAACTTGGAAATGCTGAAGAGCTTCCAAGGCTCTCATCATCTCGCACAAATGAACCTGCGATGCTATGCCTTCTACTACGATCTGACTGAACACTGACCATACTTCTAGAGTCATCATCTAGGCCCCCAATGCTACTCTTTGGGCTAGCTGACTTCAATTTTCTAGCAACTGCAGAAGCAGCTGGCTTGTTAGGAGTTGATGGGGACTGTAGGTTTGTGGTTTTGGTTGGTCTTCCACTTTCTCTTGGAGTTAGTTTATCAGAATTGAGCTGGTAGCGAGCAAAAGATTTGCTTATTTCTCCTCCAGTAATGCTGCGGCTCCCACTCTTTACAGATGAGTGGTCATTATTTAGTTCTTTCTCCGACATGCTCCGGCTCTCCCATGGATGGGCTGCCATCCATCGTTCCAACCAGCTCCAACCCCAGGATGGATTGCCACTCATGAACATAGGGTTTGCAGATCGCGAAGAATTCTTCCATGTTTTCTGTAAAGGATTTATGGGAATTAGACTTGGTTCTCAAAACACATGGTCATTCAAGTTTCAAGAATGTAAATTAAAGGTTGAACATCTTTCAGTCTGGCATAGGGTAAGCACGGACCATCTATTAAGTCAAGGCATATACAGTAGCGTATAAACGTGTTCCTAAAAGGAAAAAAACACTGCACCTTTTTTCAGACTACTACTACTTAACCTCGACAGTTTGACCAAGCAAATAATCAGTCATTCATGAATAACCAAGCTATTTAACAGACCAGTTTGTGTAAATTTCTAACTTTCTAGATAGCTCAGTCAGCTCTCTATCAAGCAATTTAACAAACCAGTTTGTGTAAATTTCTAACTTTTCAGATATTAAATAGCTCAGTCATCTGTTCCTTCATACTTTGTTTTTCATCTATGCGAGCCTCCATACCCTCATCAGAGTAAAAGAATTAGAGGAATTGATCACCTGATGAGAGAAAGAATAAGCCATTGCTCTTTCCCTTCTCATAGCTGCCTCAAACTTGTTTAGCAGGTTAGCTTCAATCTGTTCCTTTGACTGTAGACTGTCATCCCATTCCTCTCCCATCTGTTACAACATCAAAACACTCATACTTAGCACAAGGGACAGGGACTGAACCACCAGAGGTACTATGTTAGTTCATCAGATAAGCAATAAGTGGCAGGATCCTAATTATGCACCTGCATGAAAAATGCAAAAAGTCCAGCTATAAAATCATTTGGAAAACAAAATTTTAGTATGAAAACCGCTCCTGCTATTTGGCATTCATTTGCCACCATTTAAAGGAAAAAAAATTTCAATTCATCATAACTAGTTCTGTTCATAGCACCTGTTTTCATGAATATCAATCCATATTAAACATGGTAATGAGGTTCATGAAGTCCCAAACAACCTCCAACAGTTTCATATCCATGGTAACATTGTTGAACAGATTCATGATGACTGATCAGAGAATAAGTTGGTGTCCAATTGAGTGGGAAAATTCGAAAAAATAATATTAGGAATAAATGCAAATGGGACAGACCCGCAAGCTTTCAAGATCTTTTGCATGCTTCTGTAGGAGTTGTCTCTGTAGGGCCTGGTTCTCTTCTGACATTCTGATCCTCCTTATGTGAATCTGTGACTGCACCCGAGTTAGAGTCTGCATGCAGCGGAGGGTATGACTTGCTTGTCTTTTTATTGTAGGCCCTTCCATCAGAGATTTGAGCCTGGCCAACCCTCTCAGAGCCTGCAATGCTCTTCTTGCCTAGAATGAAATCACAAAAAATGCAAGAATAGCTTATAAAACCACTCGTTGCTTGAAATTGACAAGACACTAAAGGTTTGAACTCCAATCCCCCACCCCCAACAAAAAAACAAAAAAAAAGTAGTGACAAATATTCTTTCTCTAATTACAAGAAAGCATTCGAACACCCAGTTTACAAGAATTGTTAATTATCCTTTCTCTCCAACATCAATAACAAAGATAAAGCAACAAAACACATACCATGTATCCTCGGAATGCAGTTTGAATCTTAATTGCCGCCACTTCTTCCTTTGATTTGCCAGCATATTTATTAATCGTGGTTAGTTGAACAACCTCAATGGTGGTTTGGACAGTAGACGGAGCAGGCTCAGCTGCTGCAGCAGTGGCAACTGGTTCAGGGTAGGTATCCTGGTTCTCTTCATTTGTGGCTTCAATTAATTTCACCTCTTCTGGTTGAGGAGGAGGAGATCGCATTGTCACATTTTCTAAAGAAGTGGAATCCGAATCCAGTTGTTGCTTGCCAAACCATTTCTTCTTTGATTTATTTGATTTCTAAAACCAATGCAACCAAAAGTATTATAAATGACCACTCAAGATTACCAAACCACCTGCAATTCAAAATTTAAAACTGTATTCTTCTAATTACCTGGTCTTTCTTCTCCTTTGAATCAGGGCTAAGAGCTTTCTTTACACTAGAAAACCATTTTCCTTTCCTCCCCATCTTCTTATCATTCCCCAATTCAGCCTTTTCCAGAAACAAATCAAAAGATCAAGTTTGGACCATCAATTGTGAAATAAACTAAATCCCACATATTTTAAGCAGAGCATGGGGTAAAAAAAAGAAGAAGAAGCCTATGTGACAAGCAGAGATGAGAAACTACATTGGTAATACTAACCATGGAAAAACAGGAATAGGGAGATGCAGAGAACGTAATGGTCAAAAACTCAAAAGGGAACAAATTTAAGAATATCATGTTATACAATGTATACAACTGTACGTTTTCATCGGGGAAAAAAAAAGAAGAAGCCAAATTGTTGACTTAGCTCAGTTTCTCTCAATTTTGTCCAGTCAGTATAGCAATTAGCACAACTATGAAAGTATTTTAGTATTACCAAGTCTCGTACAATGAATCTGAAATTGGTAGTAAAGAAAAAAATAGATTTTGCTATTTTCCCTACATTTTCTCATGCACCAAACAGAGAAATAAAATAAAGAAAAAAACATATTTTTTAAGCCCACCGACAAACATCCAATTCTAAGCGAACTTATATACTTTTCTCACAATTTCTGAGCCACCAAACAAAGAAATAACATGGACAAAGATCCTAACTTTTTAAGCCTATCTACAAAAATTCAGTTTCAAGCAATGCTGCATTAAGGAACGCATTTTGAAACTAGAGTTGACTACCCAAAAAGGAAAACAAAATAATGGCAACAAAAGGAAGCAAAAAAGGCTAATGCTACACGTAATTGGGGTCCATGAATTAGATTACAGGTAGGGAAAGTACCAGTGAGTGAAGGAAGTGGGCAGATCTCAAAGAGCTTTCTTTGTTGAAATCTCTGTCTATCTTCTTTTTACTCCAGACTACACAACAAAAGGATTGAGAAGAGGAAATTGAAAAGCTTTTCTGACTAGAGATCTTTTCTTTCCTTTGTTTGGTTTGAATGATGAAGGGAAGTGGAAGGAGAGAAATAGAAGTAAAGAAGACACAGCTGGTAATGGTAGAGCAGCTAAGTGTGACCCCACTACTCTCCTTCTTGAACTGGTGAAATGGAATTGGGACCCACTTTCATTGATGTATCGCTCTGTTTCTTTCGGTGCAACGATATTTTGATACCTTTCTTTCCTTCTTAAAGCTTTCCAGTTCTTAGGGAACAGAATCCACTGTCTGTAAATATTGAAGTACAGGAGTAACTACAAGTTCAGATCTAACCCAACATGTTTTAGCGAAAGCAAACCTTCGAAAATACTAAACAGTTAGCAGCCAATAAGATTAGTTTGCTCTTTTTACACAGAGCCAACTGGTGCTTCTTTTTTGGGTTTTTTTTTTTTTTTTTTTTTTGTTTTTTTGTTTTTTTTTAAATTTCGTGGGTCTATTGCCACGCGGATACACACCTTTTTTTTAATGACTAACATGTACTTCAATCATTTCATTTAGAAAAAAAAAAAAAAACAATTGTAAGTTTAAAAAAATATTCTTTTTTTATTTTCCACATAAATTAAAAATTTATTAATTATTATATCTTCTTAGTATTTTTATTTATATTTAAAATTATATTTGGACAATTTTTTACAAAATATATTTCAACTATGAGTATTTTAAAAAAATATTATTTAAAATTTTAATAAGATAAATATTTTCAACAAATATAAATAAAAATGTGAAAGATCTCTTTGTATGAAGAAAACACACACATATATATAACTTCAAAGGGTGGATCTAATGGTTTTTTTTTTTTTACTTTGAATTTCTACATTCAAACTTTAGTAATAATATTTAAAAAAATTATTAAAATCTTTTTAAGATAGGAGGTCAATAACGGGGATGCACTTTCATAATAACTGAATGAAGGGTCTAATTTCAATTGACACATAAATTGATTTAAAAATATTTTTATTATATATATAAAAAACCTTTTTATTTTATGTCATGCATGCCAGTGTATCTATCCCTTTCTTGAGAGTTGAGACAGGTTAAACCGGACGTATAAGCTCTGGTTGCAAAAATATCGAGTTTCTCTTTTTTTTTCTTTTTTTTTCCGATTTAACAATATAAAGTTGATATAGCATAAAATTTGGAGTAAATTATAAATTCGTCTTGAGAAACAAATTAATTAGTTACTCTCATTTCAAAAACTAATTATTTAATCTTAATATTTTTAAATTTATTTATAATATAATCTTTTTTTTTATTCATTTTGATATAGTCTCATTTCAAAATCAGCTCATACATCAAAATTACATCCATATCTAATAAATAAATTATTTATATATGAATTAATACCTTCACAAGAATTTTTTTTTACACCTTTTCTAATCTTCATGTCTTTATGATAGCGCAAGATGAACCTGTTGTTTTTAACCGGTTTGATCACAAATAATTATACATGGGTCCATTTAACTGAAATTTCATCTAACTTAAAGATAGTCTTTGTATTATTTATCAAAGCGAAAAAAAAAAAAAAAAGCCTTCGTATCAATTCAAAAACATTACGTGTTAAAAAAAAATTAAAAGAGTTGGATCTAATACTTTGGATTTACTATATGCTTAGACTCAGCTATACTGTAGCTTAAAATCCATTGGTACCGTGTGTCTGTCTTTTGCTGCAAGTAGGGTGAGTTTTCTCTGTTTTCATCTTTCATTTGGTTTTCGATATATTTTTTTTTTTTACAGAGTCCATCTTTGAGCTCTCTCTCTCTCTTATGGAATTAATTGTCTTATGCCCTCCTCTTCTCTCGCAATTTTTTCTTATGCTATTGTTTTTTTTTTTTTGTTTATACTTTTTTTACCTTTGCTGATTTATTTCTTTATAATCCGTCTATTGTTTTTTCGTCGTTGTGCGATTTTTTTCATTCAGACATACGTAGCATTTAATGCTCGTGGTTCACATCTTTCTCTTTTATTATTATTTTTGGGTTTCACTTCTCTTGCATCGATTCCCACGGGCCAACTGAAGGGCCAATGAATCATTGCTTTGTGTTGGATAGATGTTTGCTTGGCCACATCTTTTGGCATTGACTGGGTTTTTTTGTCATGGACGTCCTCTTTCAATGCGGAGTTATTCGGTTTGGATTCTGTCTCGTCCTCTATCGATTGGTTTTACATCCTTCCATTTCGTTCTCGACGAAGTGCGTGCTTTGATTTTTGTTCTTCGTTGGTGTCCCATCTTTTGTTGCAGGAAAGTTTCCCTGGTGAGGGCCTAACTCATATCATTTGCAGCAAACAAAAGTTGGGTCATTTGGCTACGTAGTACAAGATACAGTGCCCTTCTGGTGTAACTTGTTCTTAATCGACTAATTTTGCGATGGGTCTATTCATTTTTCACCAAATAAGCCCTTCTGTTTTTTTTTTTAATTAACTGTGATTGGACATGACGTAGAAAATGCATGAATGGAAAGTTGAAAACAACTCAATTGTTTAGATATTTGATTTTGAGGTCAAAAGATTTTGACAGTAGCAATGCAAGCACTTGTTAGATTTTGACGGAACAACTGGCATGTATATTCATGACTTTATAATCAAAATATACTCATTAAAAAAAAGAGAGGAGACGTGACATGAATTAGAAGAAGCTACTTAGAATGATCAACCACCCTAGGTAAAACAATAATGCATATCACCAAAGAATTAATTATTTGACTCCGGTACTAAATAAGAAAGAAGAATAGGATTTATCCACAATAAAAGAAAATGACTACCAAATTATTTAGATTTTAGAGGTTTTTTTACCATCTAAATTACCATAATGCTGGCATTGCACATATTGTGATGGCTATAATAAGTAGGAAAATTTTATAATACACAAGGAGTAACTAATGTTATGTACGGTAGTTACTTCTTGTATCTACTTTGAGAAGAGAGATAGACATATATATATATAAAAAAGAAATTACATCTATACTCACCAAAAGTGATAAGAAGATTTTCACATCTCGCTCAAATTTTTTTATTTTCTCTCTCCTATTTTTATTTTTCTCTTTTTATGTGTCTATCTCTTTTTTCGAGTGGACTCAAAGAAGTAACTATCGTACATATCACTAATTACTCCTTGTGCATTATAAAATTTCTCATAATAAGCACTTACATGTATGATAAGAATCATACAAGGACTTTGCAAGGAATATACGTCAAAAATATGATATGGATATTAAAAGTAACAAGCAACAAAATATCTGTAGACATGAAAGAAATTTTATTTATGCTAAAATATGATGATCCACCTTCCTAGCTGGCTATTATTAATCATAATAAAGCTATAATGTAATGAATTCATGAAAAATAAATAAGAAGACAAACTGACAAAGAAAGATATATATATAACAAAAGTCTTTGAATAAAGAACTTTTTACCCAGAAAGTCTTCACCTAATTCCATTTAAAGATGACACAAAACATCCATTTGCTTTTTGGACCTATGTTAGAATTATTTTATACAAATTTACTTCCATAGATAATTGCTTAAAAAATAATTATAAAACTATCAATAGTTACACAAAACAAGTTCCAATTATGAATCAATTAACATAAAACAAATACGGATTGTCAAAATATCAATATTTTTCAGTTTCAATTTGTTATCAATGCTTTTCAGTTTCAATTACGTGACCAAATTGGTGATTCTAGATGACGTCATACCCAAATGGTCTCAAAATTCATCAACCACAAACTGTTGTAAGAGAAAGAGAAGAGAAAGATAAAATCAACAGCTTTACCATTAAGCTTGAAATTGAAATTTTTTCGCTTTACGTCACCCATTTGTTATTTAAGGATTAAATAAAGACAAAATCCAACAATACAAAAGCCTTGAAGGACTAAACAAAGACCTACTGCAAATCTATAACAATCTACCCAAGTTACCTAGAAAATCTACAACTATTTACCTAGAAACCAAAATACCTACCATCAAAACCTAAATTAACCAACGCGCACAGCCGCGAACTGCAAAGACTATGTTCCAGTACCTTAATTTTAACCAAGTCCAGCATCATAACACATAAACCATTAACACTTCACAATTTTTTTCTTTAACAGTAACTATACACCAATTAGCCAAGTAACAACACAAAAACACCATGACACAGTCAGAGACTTTTCATACATTTTACATTTGAATCCTTCACTTTATTATTTTTCTCTAGAGTATCTATTGTTCTAAACAGCTTAGGTAGTGCACGTTG